ATGCATGCAAAAAGCTGGACTAATGCCTTTAATGTCAGACATTGTCCACCCAAGTGCTCGCTTGTGCTCACGTAGCACCCTCAACAGCTTCTCTTCCTGCAATTTAGACAATTCAGAAGAAACAATAACAGGTAAAGTGTCAGAGTCACCCAAATAAGCATATTGAAGGTGAGGGGGCAAAGGTTTAAGCTCCAATTTTGGAGCCTCCTCAATTGACGGTTCTGGGGTAGGCCCAGTCTGGCCTATTCAAGGGCTCAAAGGGGTGTATCCCCTGCATGTAAGCACAGGATGTATCCAGGATGTGCATCATCTCCTCAACCTCCTCATCGTTTCCCATGCTATTGAACAACATAAGTGCTTTCTCTAGAGAGTCATCTTGATATACACTCGTGTCAAGAATTTGCTCATCAGCCTCAACGACAGATATCATTGAGAGCTCCTCGTAGTGGCACGGGAAGTTGGATTGCTTTGTAGACATTAAAGACTGCTCCTCATCATCCACCTCAAAATCATTTTTCCCTCTCTCACTTTAATAATTGCATCACCAGTAGCCAAGAGAGGTCGCCCCAATATGATTGGGACCAGTTCGTCAGCCTCATAATCCAGGATAATGAAGTCAGCTGGGAAGATAAATTTTCCAATTTGCAGCAACACATCTTCAATCACACCCTCGGGGTGTGCTATTGATCTATCAGCCAGCTGCAACATCACAGTGGTTGGCCTTGGAGCTCCCAGGCCCAATTGCTTGAACAAAGATAAGGGCATCAAATTTATACTCGCCCCCAAATCGCAAAGAGCACGACCCACATCAATATTACCAATGCGCACAGGAATGGTGAAACTGCCAGGATCCTTAAGCTTTTGAGGAAGCTTCTTCTGGACCCTTGAGGTGCACTCCTTAGTAAGTGCAACTGTCTCAAATTCAGTCAATCTTCTCTTGTGAGCCACTATATCTTTTATGTACTTAGCATACTTTGGAATTTCACGCAGTACATCAACAAGTGGAATATTTAATTGAACCTGGCTCAACATGGAGAGAAATTTGCTGAACATGCGATCATCATTCTTTTTCTGAAATCTCTGGGGGAAAGGTGGTGGTGGCCTTGTAGCCTCCACTGGCTCTGGAATTGTTTGATTCATGCGTTTCCTTAGGTATCAACTCCCCCTCGGGTGTGGCCTTGTCTTTTCTTTTCTTTGGCACTTCCTCCAGCTCTTTCCCATTTCTGAGTTTAACTGCATTCACTTGAGGATTCTTTTCTGCATCACTGGGGAGAGCGCCTGCAGGTCTGGTGTTTTGATTCGTTGCCAACTACCCCATTTGCCTTTCAAGATTTCTGAAATCGGTTCTGAGCTGCTGATTGTCAAGAAACAACTTCTTTAGCAAATCATTTGTACTCTCTTCCATTTGTTGGGGTGGCTTCTGAGGTGGATTGAAATTCCCTTGGGGTCTATAATGATTCTGATTCTGCTGATTTCCTCCCCATGAGAAGTTGGGATGATTCTTCCAATTTGGATTGTAAGAATTCCCGTATTGTGCATGCTGATTCGGTGGACCTTTGTTCTGCTGCCCCACATAGTATATGGATTCAGGATTCGTAGGGCACATGTCACTCATATGATTGTCACCACATAATTCGCAGCAAATAGCCATTTGTTGTACATGTTGCATTGTTTGTGGTTGCTGCATCGTCATCCTAGTCATCTGATTAGCTGCAATATCGGCTCTCATGGCTGACAAGTCGTCGAGCTCAAGTAATCCAGCTGATTTTTGCTTAATTGCCATTCGTGAATCACCCTCACCTTGCCAATTATGATCATTAGCAGTAAAGTTATTTAGCAAGATTTGGATTTCACTGTACGGTCTGGCCATGCAACTACCCCTACAAGCTGAATCAAGATTCATCTTTGAGGCATCATCTAACCCATCCACGAAAGTGTGACCCAATACCTCGTCAGTTTGACAATGATGTGGACAGTCTCTAAGCATCTTCTTGTACCTTTCCCATGCTTGACGAAGTGTCTCGCCATCTCGTTATTCGAACCCAAGAATTTGACTCCTCAATATCTTTGTTTTCTTAGTGGGGAAAAACTTGATTAAGAATTTCCGTGCTAGATCATCCCAAGTGCGGATTGAGTTTGCGGGCTCCTTCTGCAACCATTCCTTAGCATCCCCAAGCAGAGAAAAGGGGAAAAGTGTCAGCTTGACATAGTCCTTGGAAACATTCGGATAATTGTAAGTGTCCGTAATTTCCAAGAAATTCTGAATGTGCCTCTGCGGGTCTTCACTAGGTAGACCCACATATTGCCCTGTGGACTGGATCAGCTGCACCATGTATTGTTTGAGTTCAAAGCGCCCTGTGATATCAGGCTTCACAATAGGCTGAGTCATGTTAGCAAGACTGGGCCTTGCGGCTTCAATAACCGCGCGTTCTTCATTCCCCGCCATCTCTATTGGCTGTGGTTGGAGTACTATGTCCAACTCTCTTTCAATTCTGGTTCTTGCGTCGACTTCCCTCCTTACTCTGTGAAGTGTTCATTCAATCTCAAGATCAAGGGGAAGTAGATTGTTTGCGCTTCTACTCCTCCGCATTCAAGAGAAGAGCCTGTGTTAACATAAACAAGGTAAACTGAAAATTAAAGCTTGAACAAATAACTAATATAAGCCTAACTCAGTCAAGTAGCTAATTTCTAAGTCATCGGCAACGGCGCCAAAAACTTGTTGCGACCAAAACACTCACGCAAGTGCACGTGATCTTCAAGTAATAAAGTAGTGAGTAGAGTATCATTCCCACGAAGACTTGTGATTAACTATTGACTGATTTAAACTCAATTAGCTTATCGATCCAAGAGATTTTTCAGAAATGATATTCGTCTTTAATTTTACAACCTAAAATATCAATTAATAAACTAACTAAAATAATCAACCAAACAAATAGCAATTTCCAATGACAAGCAGTAGGGGAGAATATTCCAAGGTCACGGGCTAGTTAACAATCATGTTGCGTTCTTGGCTTAAAATAACTAATTGATTTATCTGGGTTGTTGATTGACAGAGTTAATAATGCTCATAAGAATCTGTCGAGTTCTTACTGGCCTATTCAAGTTAACTTAATGCCTATATGTCTATGGAATTAAAATTAACAAGAATGCATTTATAAATCCTGTATTTCAACCAAATAAGGCAATTAGGTATATGTCTATCCTAACCGCGAATCCGTTATCGGATGCCCAGGTTCAAGAACTTGCTCTATTTAATTCTATATGCAATCCAAAGTTCCCACTTTCGAGTTCAACTATAGATTCGTAGATAGTATTCCACTGTTAGCTACTCAGCAAAATAATTGAGAACAGAATTAAATAAACAACCCAATATGAGTAAACCAACTTTGTTAAATTAAACGCTGAACAACAACAATCATGTTTCACCTATGACCCTAGACCAATAGGTTTTAGCCACTCATAGCAGTGTTCATCTCAATAATGTTTAATTTCATTCAAAACGTAAAAACAAGAAGAAGAAAAGAAGAACTTGACGTTGGATTTTCCTCCTTGCCTCTTGCCTCTATGTTTCTTGCTCTAAACTATGAAAACCTTGATATCTAATCCTTGGGCGAGCTTGAGTTTATATAGGTTAAGTGAAATTTCCTCCAAATTTCCAATTTTGCCCCTAACAAATCTTTTCCGGAACTGGGACTAGCACGAACGCGCTAATGCTCGCGCTAGAGCTCGCGCTAGTCTCCTGACATTCTGCTTCCCGCTTCTGAACTAGCGCGATCGCGCTACTGCTCGCGCTAGAGTCGCGCTAGTTCAGGTCATTTTTTCTTCAATTCTTTGTCTAGTCTTTGCGCGCACTCAGCTCCGAGGGGTCTTTCTTGCTCCAATGTAGCTCCAATCACAACTTTAAGGCATCATATGGGCTCACCATCCTGCAATGTGTAAAATTCACAATTAGAGCCCATTTTTCATCATTTAACCATATTATGACATTGAAACATAATCAAGCGGGAGCATAAACAATTGCCAAATCACCTAGACCTAGCCTATTATCAACACCCCACACTTAATTCATTGCTCGTCCTCGAGCAATCAAATTATACTCTCTAGAGGTTCCACTCAACAATTTCCCTTAACGCCTTACACCCAGAACCAATTCACATACTGCTACGCCTAGTAGTGAACAATCTCGAGCCTCAAAAGTCGACTCTCACGTCGC